ACGATTTCGGTGTGAAATAATAAAGCTTACCCGGTTTTGGTATGAAGTTCACTGTGACCTCACGCCATGTACTAAAGATATTTGAAGACAAAAATTATTTTTTAAACACTTTATATTTGGCGAAATGTTCAGCTAGTTTTAGCATTTTGACCACTGTGCAACAGAGGGACAATACCAGTTCACGCGAATGCCCTTTGGCCTTATGAATGCGCCAAGTGTGTTCAATCGCTTGATGAAGATAGTCGAACGCGAGATCGGGTCCGGGATCGTAACTGCGTATATGGACGATCTGTTGATCGCGAGTGAAACGGTAACGGAGAGACTCGCTAAGTTGAGCCGTGTTTTCGAAGTGCTTCGGGAAAACGGACTAACTTTGAATCTCTCCAAGTGCAGCTTCTTGATAGACCAAGTTGAGTATTTGGCTTTTGAACTATCTAAAGAAGGAGTTTGTCCAGGTCATTCGAAGATCGAAGCTATCAAACAGTTCAAACGTCCTACCAACGTGACAGAAGTTCGTCAATTTTTGGGAATCGCGGGATTTTTCCGACAATTCATTCAAAGTTATGCTTTAATTCTAAAACCATTAACGATACTTACAAGAAAAGACAACGATTGGCAGTGGGAAGAAGAACAAGAACGAGCATTCCAGAGCGTGAAAGACGAATTAGCCGAACGACCCATACTTACCTTATATGACTCAAATGCTGATTTCGAAATTCACACGGACGCTAGCAAAATAGGCTTGACGGGAATTCTGTTTCAGTCGAAGCCCAATGAAGTTATGAAACCTGTTTCCTATTTTAGCCGTCAGACTTCCGAATTAGAGCAGAAATTTCACAGCTACGAGTTGGAAGCTTTGGCCATTGTTGAATCACTGGAACTTAAAGTACTTAAAGTAGTTACTGATTGCAACTCTTTAAAGACGATGATGAAAAAGAAGGATATTACCCCGCGAATTGGCCGATGGCTACTCAAATTACAAGAATATGACCTTGAGGTCGAACATTGAATTGGGACTCTAATGGCACACCTCGACGTGCTTAGCCGAAATCCACATGAACCAGCCCGAGAAGTTAAAATTGCAGACGTTAACGTGCTTGCCCTTCGTATTAATAACAGCGATTGGCTCTTAACCATGCAGCTCCAAGACCAGAAGTTGAACACTATATTCTATATTCTACAGAAACCACCACAAACCAACGAAGAAAAACAAATTCACGAAAATTATCAACTGAAAGACAACCGAATATGCCGAAAAGCGAAGGAAGGCCCTATGAGGTGCGATGGAGGGTGATTAAGGGCAGCCACGATGATATGGGACATTATGGATTGGAGAGAACACTACTACACTTACAAAAATACTTTTGGTTTCCCAAAATGAGGAAGAATGTGAAGAGCTACATAGATTCATACATCGAATGTGATTATCAAAAAATAAAATGGGAAAACTACAAGCACAGCTACATAACATCGAACGGTTACCGACCCCATTCCACACCGTCAACGTTGATCACCTGGGGAACTTTCCCAAGAGTACAAACGGTAACGTCCATATTCTGGTATGTGTTGATAACTTTACGATGTATCTATATATGAAGGCTGTTAAAGACACTAAGACGAGGAACGTCCTCAATGTGATGAACGAGATTGTTAGTATATTTGCACCTCCGGCTAGATTAATTACGGACAGGGGTACGGCATTTACGGCGAAGAATTTTGAAAAATATTAACCATATCATACATATGAATGAATGCGACATCCTCTCCACGAGCAAATGGTCAAGTAGAACGATACAATCATACGATCACAACAGCAATAAGAATAACGATGACTACGCATGAAGATGGGAAAGATTGGGATGCCAAACTATCAAATATTTTGTATGCCATCAAGAGTATTCCGAATAAAACTACTGGAAAGTCTGCCCATGATTTATTATTTGGTTACCAACCTAGGAATGCTCTACAAAACCGGTTAATACTGACTTTAGATCAAGAAGAATATAACGAAGAGGAACGCAATGGAATGAAGAGAAAAGCTTTCGAAAAGATAGAAATAACTCAGCAGAAGCAGAAAGAACGATTCGACAAAAAGTGTGTAATTTCAAGCAATACAAAGAAGGCGATTTAGTTTTGATTAAGACGGAACCGATAGCTACAGGGGAAAGCAGAAAGTTACAACCATTCTTTAAAGGTCCATACGTCATAGTTGAGACGTTGGGACAAGATCGATATGTATTATTTGATATTGGGGACGATGGTGAAGGTAGCGAAGCCGAATGTTAGAGAAATGTAAATATAGGCGCGAAGGAACGATAGTGAGAAGGCATGGGGAGGACGAACAGTACGAGTTGAGACATGGGTTAGTTGGATGTTACATCTTTTGTATTATTATTCTTATTAAAACAAGTAAAATAAGTGAGATTAATTTAATTTCGGCCACCCTAACAAATATATCATTCCCATTCACTCTCAGTTGCAACGTCGTCAAAGCAATTAAACATATATAACTATTACACTATGTGTAAAATGTTGGTTGTTCTGGCGTCTTTCATTTAATCTTTGTAGCAAGCTTCGCATCGTTTTCATTTGGCGGAACTTCAGCTTGTTCGAGGTTGATCGTATTCGGCTGGTGTTACAGGCTTATACTTCCCTAGCATGTTTTTTGTCTCATTTAGTAAAGATTGAATAAGCGATGTCCTCGTCAGTTTTCATTGACTAAGCTTTGAGATAATTTCTTCAGAAAGTCGTCAGATATAAGGAGGTGTATATTATACACGTTACGTAGGGGGATGTATTGAGCCGGTGTGGTTGAGGTTCAATATTTTGGGGGTCACTTTATTTGTTGGTAGGGTTTATAGACCACAATTAAACTGTAAACAATTTTTAGAGGCCGTCGAAGATCTTTATACAACATGCTTATCGGTATTCTGCTTGTGGAATTTTAATATCAATACGTTGTGACGCAACTCAGATAATTAGGAATTCTACACTCGTTGCGCGCGGTTTGTCTATTCTTCTTGATCTCATAATTACAAGTAATACGGATATTCTTAGGTCTAGTGCAGTATTACCTTGGGATGTTTGTGATCATGTCATCGTTCAGTGTGACATTGAGCTTTTTACGACACAAATACAGCCTAAAGAGATTATTACTCGATGTTTAAATTCCATCGGCAGCTCTTTAACCTTGATTTGTAACATTTACCACTTCATTTTATCTTCAGAATAGTAACACCAAATATTTAATGAGGCTAAGAGATAGTGCTAAACTGAAAAACAAAAAACGAAACTACACTCGGACTGGCGGTATTACAAGGAGCTTCGCAATTTTACTACAGCAGATATCCGTAATGAGAAAAGAGCCTATTTCCAACACATTGCTTCTACAGCCAATTCGCGAATAGTATGGAGGCAACTCGAGAGAGAAGGTATCATCCACTCTGCGCCACAGTTAATTATACCTGAACACTTAAATCAACTCAATTTTGTTAATTCGCCTGCCTTTCTCATATGATGCTTATTTAAAATTAATTAGTGACATCGATGTGCTAAATGCAATACACTGAATATCATCCAAGGCAGCTGGTTGTGATGGCATTGATGTGTCCATGATGGGGTTGTGTTTGCCTCACATATTGCCGTACATTGTTCATTTAGTTAATGTTTTTATTGAACATTCTGTTTTCAGTTGAACAGTTGATGAAGATGATGAATCAAACCTCTGTGACGGCAAAGAGGTTGATGCCGGTGTTGATCTCGGTGACTGATTTTATCAAGTATGATTTATTTCTTCAGGTATGATGTGTTGCATGTTGACATCTGAGCCTGCTGGGGAAACTGAATGGTAAACTTGCACGTGAGCAAAGTCCTCTTCATTAAAAGTAAGTTTTTTGAATATCCATATTCCAATCTTTTCAAAAGCTCTTACAATATTTTTGCAAGTGAATGATTTAAAATATGCAATTTTTGCTAGTTTCGGAATGTTGTACAAGGGTTTTCCCCGGGTTATTCACATGCCAATCATTAAACGCTATCTTCAGCAAAAGGTCTCTCTTAGATGTAGGAGTGCATCTAAGGGTTGGAGACGGTGTGTTGTGTTGGCATTGTGTTACCACTAGTTGAAATAATCCCTCCAAATGTAACTAATTTGTCTCTTTCTGCCGAAACAAGTTGTGTTCTTGTAGAAATCATTTACGGCCGTCTTATTGAATCCATAAGATCTTGCAGCACTGGTGTTTTCACGTTTTCTCTTAAATTTTCGTTTTATGTTATCGTATTTAATTGTGGTTTATTACTTATCAAAGTGGTTGGAAATTGTACCAATCAACAGCAAAAGCATAACTGAAATTATAGGAAAACTTATGACTATCTTTGCCACACATGGTATACCACAATATGTGGTATGTGACAATAATCCTTTTAACAGCCATGGTTTCCGAGATTTTGCAAAAGTGTGGAATTTTGAAATTATTAACGCTAGCTCATACTATCCAAAATCCAATGGACTAGCTGAGAAAGCAGTTGGAATAGCAAAGAACATAATCAAAAAGTTCGAAAGATATACGAATGGGTTTATTGGAGTATAGCTGTACACCACTAACCGGATGTTTTATGCTCCAAGTGAGATTTTGATGAGCAGATTGCTTAGAACAAAGTTGCCTTGCACAAAGAATATTTTAAGCCCTAAAGTAAATTACTTTAATCATATTCTTGGTCAAAAAACATAATGAACTCACGCGGGGTATTCATTAACTTCGCGAGAAATTATAGTAGAGTCCAGCTGAGCATTCAGAGATGAATGAATAACTAAATCTCTAAATGATGCAGCTGCGCTTTTATATTATTTTCTTATCTCCATGCTGTGTTGGCACTAATTGTGGAGGTAGAATGGTTAACACTATATCCTAGTAAAGTTTCCCGATTAAAATCTGAACCATCCTGTATATAAAAAATTCTTATATTATTACAATAATTTACATACATTGTTTTTTATTTAGGTTAATCTTCATGAAACGTTGAAAAAGATACACACGACATTGAAGAATCTTTATATGGAAGGCCACGTTTTAGCAGTTTACAACATTTTAATATTTTTCCTAAGAAACCTCGACAATTCAAATCAAGAAATGATTGATACTCTTCAAACATTTATCAAACAACACTGTATTCCTAAATTATTAGAGAATATCTTCTGCGCAAACGTAATCGACTATCAATTTGCGCTTACTTTACTGTTATCACTCAATTTTAATGAGTTTTCAACGTTGATAAAAAATTACATCCGGATACATAAAGCTAATCCGGCTAAATTATTTGTTATAATGCAACTAACGATAACAGTTTACCGGCGTAACAATGTAATGCATGAGACTTATTTAAAATTGTTACTGTTATCAAAATGGTGGTTAAAAATCAACGGGTGTAAAATACAAATGAAAACTTTTTTTGTAAGTTCAACAAAAGAGTTATTGAATTTACTTTTTCTGTACAATCATTTAAGTCTGGATATGTTGGAAGAATTCTGTAAAGATTTCAATTTAAATTTACAAACGAGTTACGTTACTTATTTAGAAAAGTTGATAACGAATTGGAAACCAGATTATGAAATAATTAAAGAAACAGACGGAAAACTACAACTTGTATTAAAATCCACCGAAAACGAATTATTTAGAAAATGTGAAAAAGTTTTAAATTTAATTACATCAACCGAAATGTTACCTAATTACATTGAAAAATTTTCATCAAATATTAATTTTTACTATTACGAAGCTTTTATGTGCGTTTTTAAAATCATATCCAAATTAACAAACAATACCAACTTTAATAAACAACAATTATTACGATTTTTAAACAACTATCGAAGAATAAACAAACCTGGAAATCTAGAACTAGAAGAATGGTTTGCTGTGTTTCCCGTCACCGGTTCCATCGACGAGCTATCCAATTTTCGTCTACCATTTTCACAAATGTTGTTTACTGAAGACGTTTGGAACATTATTCGCCCGGAAATCAATATAAAAACTTATCCCACCTGGTTTAAAGCAATTCCATTCTTACACAAATCGTTGAATGTCGACGATATCTGTACTTTTGTTGTTAAAGAAGTCGTTTCTAGTGGCATTTTAAGCAAAGAAATCGACGATAATCATTGGCTTTTGTTGGCAAAACATGAAAGTTTATTTAAACAAATCGAAGATTGTGTTAAAAATATCGTCAATATTGAAAAGGCTACTTCGGCTATTAACCACTTGATGATTCACACACCGAATGGTGCTGATAAAGTAAACGCTGCCTTTATGTGTTTGCGATTTGCGAATATGTATAAAAAGTCTACTACTCACGGCAGTGAAGGTGTTGATGAGGCGTTTAGAAAGGTAAGCAACATTTTTCAAATGTTTATTGTATTAAAGAAAACTACAACTAGAACTAACACTAGCATTATCACTAGAAATAATACTAGACCTATAACTAAAAACCTTTGGGTTAAGCCATGCGTCTTTTGAAAAAGTATTTAACGTTTTGGATGCCATGTTGTAACCCTCCCAAGAAACAAGTTCGAAGTCACTTCGAAGATTAGTTAGTTTATCTACTCTCCCCACACAATCTACACATCCTCTTCTCACCCCCATCCAATACTTATTCGCCCTCTCCCCCAGCTTCATATCTGCCCCAATAATCTACTTACTTTTCTAACTCTTTGCCTAATATGAGCCCCCATCCTATTATCCGCTCGAAAGATAAAACCCAGGTACGTAAATTCTCTCTTCCATTCTCTTTATTAAATATTCGCTAATTCCCCTTTTCCTTAGCGCCTTCCACAATTTCTCCCCATTTACGTATGAAATGACGTTTATAGTCTCTCTTCCCCTTCTGGAACTTGACTATCCATCAAGACAATAATTATTATTTCTCAACATTACTTATAGTATCGCAATGGTTTGTAACACCTCAATACCTCGCAATACTATTCTGTGTTTCTCAACCTCATCATCTGGTATTTACCATCATTATCCCTGGTAACTCTTAACATCGTCCCTGATATCTTCCCCTATATAGCTTTGCTTTCCCCGACATTACATTACATTACATTGACTATATATCGGGTAGGCGGACCAAACAACCTTGCACCGCGACCCTAAGGATCTATTGTACCCCGATAGATATCGTTATCAAATTTCACCGTGGGTCCAATGCTCTTACCGAACATTAATACCTTGCTCGGCGAAAGGTCATTCAGATCCCTTGAGGAGATAAACTGCGACCCAAAAATCGAGAATCTGATACGGTTAACGGCAGGGCAGTGGCATAAAACATGCTCAACCGTCTCTGCTTCCTCCGCACATAGTCGGCATTCAGCATCGTCGGCTAAACCCAACAAGTTAAGGTGTGCTTTTAATCGGCAGTGCCCAGTAAAAACACCCATTAGAACTTTTATGCTACTACGGGCAAGTCCCAAAATATTCCCGGGTTTGACAGTGGCGATGTTAATAAACACCTTAGCATGTGTCATTCCAGGAGAACTGGTCCACAGTAGGCGAAGTCTCTCTTCAGCCCACAGTCCAATCCTATATTTGGCCATCGCAAATGATACACCAACTGCTGGTTCCGGCACCACAAACGCTTCAGCGCTGCCATCTCGTGCTAGCTTATCTGCCGCTTCATTACCAGCATCCCCAGAGTGACCCGGAACCCAGATCAGAGAGACTCTGTTATCACAACTCAGTGTGTTTAATGTTCTCTTACAATCATTAACCAGAGCCGACACCGTTTTCACGGCTTGCAGCGCCTGGAGAGCGGCTTGACTGTCTGAGAAAATTCGGACTGTCATGTTCTTTACCCCTCTTTCAAGAAGGATTTTAGCACCCATGTCAATAGCAAATACTTCCGCCTGGAATACAGTACAGTACGTACCCAGGCTGTAAGCTTGCTTAATTTGAGGTGTCTGGCAGTATACTCCTGCATCTACCCCTTCAGGCGTTTTTGATCCATCTGTGTACAAGCAAATGTCTGCCTGAACCAGAGAATTTTCATTTTCGATCCAGGACTGCCGCTCAGGCAGTACAATGTGGTATCGAGCATTAATCACTTATAGTGATACCGCCAAATCTGAGGGCATTGATAGCACAGCATAGCTTATAATGTCTTCCGCAGCCCATTGGTAGGACATGTCGGAACAGTTTTGAGCATATTGCTTAAATCTGTAAATGGTTGTTCTAGCCACTTTCTCTATATGCAAATGCAGAGGAGATAGGCCAAGCAGAACCTCCATTGCTAGAGTTGGCGTTGTGCCTATCGCACCAGAGATTGCCAATCCAGCTACTCGTTGAATTCGTGAAAGTTTACTGATAACTGAAGTCTGTCGGACTTTCCTATACCAGGCTGCTGCTCCGTATGTGATCATAGGTCTAACCACAGTCACATAGAGCCAGTACAGTCTTTCAGGGGTAAGACCCCAATTTTTTCCACAAAGACTGCGACAAGTCCACAAGGATAGTCTAGCTTTGTGCAAAACTCCCTGCAAATGTCCATTCCATGACAGGGTTTTGTCTAGGATTACTCCTAGATATTTGACTTCCTTTGAGAAAGGAATTTCTTCACCTTGGATAGTTGGGCGGATTAGTCCATCCAACTTTCGCTTCCTGGTGAAGGGCACAACAATTGTCTTTTGCGGGTTTATTGAGAGGTTCTCTCCCTTACACCAAGCGCAAATGGTATCTAGGGTCACCTGGAGGACTTTAGATATCCTCGGCAAACAGGTTCCTTTGACCATAACGACAATGTCATCAGCATAAGCTTGTATTTCCACACCAACGGCTTCGACTATCGCAATCAGATCGTCAACTAGGAGGGACCAAAGCAGGGGAGATAACACCCCTCCCTGCGGGCAGCCACCTCCCGGCCTGAAGCGTATCGTATCACCGTGGAGTGAAGTAGAAACTATTCTACTATCTAGCATATTGCGGATCCAACCCGCTATAGTTGCTTCCACTCCCCTGTCAAGAGCAGCTCTTTCAAGAGATTGTGGTATTGCGTTGTTGAACGCTCCCTCTATATCCAGAAACGCACAAACCAAGATTTCTTTATCCTGCAGCGTCCTGGATACTCTACCAACTAAGTTGTGTAGAGCCAATTCTGCTGATTTTCCCGCTTGATAAGCATACTGGTGGCGACTCAGTGGACCAGATACCAATGGCACCGTACGGATATACCGTTCCAGAACTTTTTCAAAGGTTTTCAGCAGAAATGACGTTAGGCTGATGGGTCGAAAGGCATTAGAAGTTGGGACCGAACGGCCCGCTTTGGGTATGTAAGATACCCTTACCTTAGTCTATTCTGCCGGCACATATTTCCAGGCGACACTCGCTCTGAAAATTTTTACCAAAATTGGCAACAACAAAGACCTCCCCTGCTGTAACAAAGCAGGAAAGATATTGTCTTCTCCAGGCGATTTGAACGGCTTAAACGTTTGAATTGCCTGGTCCACGGATGTGTACGTGACGACTTTTCTAGCCACACTCCAATCCGTATTTGAGGGGCGCTTTGCCTTACAGGAATAGCCCGCTGTGGCATTATCGGTCCTCGTCATCAGGCTTCCTGGGAAGTGAGTCTGCATGAGAAGCTCCAACGAGGCTCTGCTAGAGTCCGTAAAACTACCGTCAGGCCGGTTAAGTGAGCCCAGGGGTAGTGCCGGATCTCTAGCGAGAATCTTGTGAATTCTTGCACTGCTGAATTGCAAATTTGATAATGCAGGAAGTTATTCCATTCGACGTTACTCCACCATCAGCCTCATATCATACATACAGATGGACATCTTTGTTATTTGAAAGATAAATAGAAAAATTATGTACTTGCAACTTCTGTTTATAGTATTGAGATGAAACTAAAAGTTTTGGACACAGCAGCACGCTTTGCATATCTATTGTTGCTAAAATTGTATTTGAAGCCATCGCAATAGCATTCTGTTTAGCCGCTCGGGCTTCTTCTTTCTTTATTCTAGGAGCATTCTATTCCTCCTCAGTAGTGTTCCCTTCCCGAAAAGAAACACATAAATCGCATTGGTCCTTTCTCGGTTTGAATATTGAAATTTTTTGTTTTTCCAAAATTTCTGTACATTTTTTTCTTTCCACCATTGGGTTTCCATTGTCTTTACACCAATCTTTATACACACTGTGCATATGACACAATTTGAACGAAGGCTCTACGTAAATTCTGGAGGATGATGCACGACAATAATGGCACAGAAGATTCTAGCACAGAATCAGATTTCAATTTTTTATTGGTATTTCTCCATTTTTTCACCTTCTGAAGAGTCATTTTCCTTATTTTCCTTATTTTCTTCGCTATTGTTATCTTGATGGCATCCCGATGATTTAATCCAACTGTTAAATAGATCTTTTTTTATATCTAACGTTGCCTGGAAAAAATCTCTGCATACCCTTACTTTAGTTAAATTTGCATTAGGCAAAAAACAGTCACAACCGAATTTTTTTCTTATACATTGTATATCCTTTCTACGCTTGATAGATTGTCTAAATTCTACAAGTCCCTGCAAATACCTTTTCTTTTCAGGCCAGGTACCAATTTTCCAAAATTTTTCAAATATAATTTTTCTTGTTTCTTCAGATACAGATTCACAGAGAAATGTACGTTTTAACATTTTTTTGGCAACTCGGTGGTCACATAATTTAGGTTTTAGCTTCCTCTCTTTTCTTTCTATTATTTGTGCACTTGTTTTTGTTCTCTTGATTCCATTATATTTTAGCCCAATCGTTCTCTTCCTCTTATTTCATTTCTTAAACACTTTTTTTCTTTTAAGTTGGAATTAGGTGCTGCAAGATTTTGCGTAGTATCTTCTTTATTTACAGGTCGGTAATCTTCATCAGAAGAAGTTTCCATATCAAAGTCTTTATTGTTATTACCTTTCTCATTTTCGTTGTTACTATTACATACCACAAAATCTTCATTAGAAAATGTGTTGTTAACAACTACTGGATCTGCATTAACATCAGTTGAATTCTCGTAATGAATAGGTTGTAGAGAATAGTCGTTTTTTCAGAATTGTTAATACACATATCATAATGTTCAATTATAATGTTATTGCCATTTTCCGTGCATTTTGTATTACCATCTACTGAAGTCAGAAGTGCCATTTCTACAATGCGTTTGGCTCTTGACATTTTTAAGTGTCATTAATATTATTGAAACCGACGTGGCTATTGTTCCTGAAGATGACTAAAAAAGAATAGTCGAAACCGGTTGAGCCGAAAATAAAGAAAATTCCACCCTTCTGAAAAGCAAAGTTTTTTATTCACATAAATATTTTTAAGTGTGCTTGAAAGGTATGGGGAATTTTATAAAAATACTCTACTTTATTATTTTTTATTTTTAGGTTAGGATTAGTAAAATACGCGATTTAAATTTTAGTACATTACTTTCTAATACTCAAATACTTACCATATCGTCTCCAAAGCACAAAAATGATGTTAGATATATTTATAAGGTACAATTGGTTTACTATATTCTATTTTAAACACAAATGATTATCACTTAATGTGCAATGTGTCACATACAACAGAGCACTATGCTTTGTAAAACCCTCCATGTGGCATAAAAGGAGTAAAACGTAAGTTGGCATGTCCAGCTATGTATTTGAACTTTATTACATAACGGAATTGATCCACCTGGTACAGCTAAAAGTAGCTATGTGATTCAGGCAACATATAGCTGTTTTTCGTTTATGGCAAGCACATAGAGACTTTTAGTTTTCACAAAATAATAATCAAAATAATGGACTTTGGTACATTATTTTGTCAGATGGTGTATTCGCATCGACGATATCAGCTCTCAACATTGTCCTTGCCTTCCTAGATCTCATCCTATCATTTCGCAATGTCATTTTTGGTATCTCGAATTATCGTCCCCACTTCTCAACTGCCTTTCTCAACATGTTCCCCATCATCTATCAACATCCTCCTTGCTATCTATAAGTTCGTTCCCTAATCTATTTGATAGGAATTGAACTTTCCTCAACATAGTCTCTATTAATTGTTGTTGTTGTTTCCTTTTCACAAATTTTAGTTGTAAACATTATATTAATAAGAATTTATCTCTATTTTTCTTAAAATATCGTTACTTAATTATTTTTTTTTAATATAGATCCGAAATAAGTACCTAAAATACTCCGTTTGTCAAATTCTTCATTCGTTCAAATTAAACAGCGATGATTACAGTAAAATATTACTACAACCGCATGATCTAATCGAGACGTTATACATCCACAAATCGATAGAAACCGCAAACTCAACAGTCGTATTGGCCACACCTGACATTAATGCAGCAGTCGATAAAATATCTGCGTTGCATAATATCAATATTTTACAAAAGCGCAAAGAATTACTGGAAGCTTTCCTTTCGACCAGTGCAGAAGAGCCAAAATATTCGAAAGATGTCATAATTAATTTAAAAAGGTTAGCTTGAAGGAAACCTTTGAAGTAAATCCATTTTCATGCATTAATTTTCTTAGGGCTGCTTATATTTGTAAAAGTGGTGAATTATCTTTTTGGCAACACCATTTAGCTCATTTAGGAACTGATGACGAAGTACAATTAAAATTAAGAGCGAAGGCGAATGCATTAAAGTGTTTAACGATGATTTCGGATATTGAAACAATTGAAACTATTTGCTCCTTGGAATACAACGCATTTTTGTAAGTGATTTATGACTGTTATTTTTTAACATTTTTTTTTATTTGGTTAATTTTTAGAAACTACATTGACAAAATATATTTATTAAGCGATCTTGAATATCGCGGTTTTTCCATGACTATAGACCAACTCAACAGTTATAACAAAAAGATATTATTGCGCCAATTAGCCCAAGATATATTTTACTCTAATACAATCAAAATTATGGCCGATATTTGCATTATTTACTCGATGCTTGACGTGAAGTATTGGAACAAAATCATCGAAGTGTCAATAAAATTAGATATGCGTGATGATTTGAAACATTATATACAATTTTGGGCCGCGATGCCGCTAGCAAAATATAAGAATTTTTACATCAACGCTTGGCAGTATGTTATTGATAATTCATTTAATGAATGCGCCATTCTAAACAAACCGGATGCATTCAAATATTGTATTAAAACTATAGTAGAAATTCAATCTTGCCCTGTATTAAATTTTTTAAATTTTGAAAAAGTTTTTAAGAAATTAGTACAAATGGATCAATTCGAATTTGCCCTGGTTTTTACTCAATACATGGCTGATCCTATTCGGGAACATTGTTTAAGAGAAGTTATGAGTTGTACAGAAAATGTTAATATTTCTGATTTACAAACTTATGGAATATATGGAATTAATTTAGTTGAAGATACTTTAAGGAATTTATATTAGTGAGTAAAAGATTTTACTATTAGTTATTATTATTATAAAATAATTTCTTACAAAATAAATTAAAAAAACGAAATTACTTTTCTTTTAATTTAATCTTTATTTTAGACTCAACCTTTTAATTAAAAGACATGGTGCATGTCATTAAAGGTGGAGCAATACATTTACAATGAACTTTTCTTTGACCATAACTATTGTTTTCCGTTTCAATTGTTGATCCAAGTGTTAAAGTTTTTAATCCATATTTACACACTTTACTCGTTGATGTTGTGTTTTGTTTAATGATGTCGATACTCGATGCTGATTATAGGAAAAAATGAATTATAAAAATAAAATATATTCTTTTACTTACGGCAAACAAAAGTAGATGGACAACATAAAGCTTCTGATGTACTTGATGTAACATATAGTGGAGCGCAATTCTTTTCGATATTTTCTGGTTCTTTTACTTCAATATCGCATGGAGTTGACTGGCAATTTGGTCCATTGAGTTTACCATCGAAGTCTTTTGTACAAATGCATGTTAAGCATTTATTTTTTGGGCGAAATATTTGTCCTTCCTTAAATATTTCGTTTCCAACTTTGCAAGTTGCTGGAACTCCATCTTTTAAAAATTATTAAATTAATGTTTAAAATAAATATAGGATATATCCGATATGAAGGGTGGTCAGGGGGAAAAGCAATGATAGTCATCATTTATTGTATACAGGGTGAAATTTTAGACAGACTAAAATGTGGTGAATTTCATTGCATATATAAAGATATTAGACATTTTCCTAACACATTTTTTGAGTACACTAGAATGAGTATCGATACTTTTGACTACATACTGAACATTATACAATCATCTTTGAAATCGTCGATCAGCGGTCCACGAATTATTACACCAGCAGAAAAATGAGCCACATGGGAAGCACTATTGAATACTCATATGCCACAAACAACAGAAGAGCATTTAATTAACATATCAAGAACTGATGGCAATTTCCGAACTTTAAACAACACTGAAACGAACACGAACTGAAACATTTTCGTATTAAAAAGCCACCAATACTTAAGTGGAAGTGAATACTTTAATTATAAGCACTTTTTTATAGTGCTTCAAGGCATACCTGATGCATATCATAAGTTTATCAGTATTATTCTAAACTTATGTTGCAGATGTGAACTCAGATGTGACTCAAACTTATGTGCGTCGGATCATCCAATGCTCGTGCAAATTCGCTCTTAGCGAACTTCGCTGCTACTTGTAGCGCTACTTTGTGGCCTTGTAGATTTAGACTCATACGCTATATATAATCGTACGCGATATAAACGTTCTTCTGTTAGTTATGGCATAAGGGCATTCAATAGTGCTTGCTATATGGCCCGTTTTTCTGCTGGTGTAATAATTCATGGTTGTATAATGTTCAGTATGTAGTCAAAAGTATCGACACAGGTTGGTAAAAACAAAGACGAATCTTGTATAAGTTGTCCACCCCGTATTTGAATTAAGTCGTGACAAAATATAATTACAAAGAATGAAATTTAACGCGAGTCAAAACATCGACGATTTAGGTACTAAGATACAGGAGTCAGCGATAAAACAAATGTAACTAACGCAACGGAATTAAAGCTGAACTTATTTGCGGTGCATCAATTGCCGATAAATGATATGCTTAACCGTTTGAGCGACAAGCAGCGCAATCGCGCTTTTAGATTTTATGTCGAGAAAATCCAGCACTTTTTGTACTCTGTTCGACAGTGTTTTTTCAATACTTCCTAGGACTCAAACGGATAAACATTATACAGTGTGTTAATTAATTATCGTACCCGACGTTATCATTGCAAGTATGCAACCAATATTGCAAAACGCGTATTGCAATACCAATACTGTGATATTGATTGCATAGTTGCAATGATGAGGTTGGGTACGATAATTAATAAACACAGTGTGCAAGTGTACAGTTAGTTCTTACCTCCACATTTGAGTTTTGGACAACATTTGTCCAGAGAGTGTTTTAGAAAACATTTTGGATTTTTTTTAAGTACTGGGTCTACCTCTCCGCAATTACCTGGAGCACATCTAAATTTGCCTCTGAAAAAATCGACGAGGAGATTTTATTAAAACGTAATACCTTTTCCTTACTTTTCACGTGCAGTTGCCGTACAAATACATCCAAAATTACAACTTGAATCTTTCACGACGTCTTTAACATCTTGTCCGTTATTAATTTTCTGTCCTTGGTAAGTACAATGGCCAATAGGTTGACTGTATTGACAACCATTGTAAGAAGGACAACCATTTTCATTTCCCGATACTTTACATCCAATTGTTTTGTAAAAATGTAAACCGAGGAAATCGCAATTGGTATCTGAAATGTTAACAAGGAACAGTTTATAGTATATTATTCAACAAGCGTATAATGGCGGCTGTTATTGTATTATTATCTACAACTATTTAATTTTGAAAAAAAATCCAAAAAAGAAAAAAAAAACTTTATAGACATTTCAGAAATAACATCAATATAAGAAAGCTATAATTTCTGTTATATTTTATTTTTTGATTAGTAGGTCGTGTCAGAACTGTGGAATAATGGCTTCATTATTCAACACTTGTCAGTCATGCGAGTAATACGTGTCGTTACCCGTCAAAAATCAAAAAATTTATAACGAATAGACAATTCAATAGTTGTAGATAAAATCTTTTTAGCTCTAATTACGTTATATACGTGTTGAAATAAATAAAATCATTGCGGTTTATTTACGAAAGATAACACAATAATCTTACTTCCAAAAGCATCGTTTACAAGCAACGTTGATGCAATAAATAAAATCACTCCAAAATGCTTCATCTTTGAGTACGTCGTCAATTTCAACTGACTCATAATTTTCACGTTTTTTTTTATATGTTCAACAGTTTTATTAAACCGTGGTGGGATGAACAATAATATAATAAAATATCAAAAAAAACTTGGAAAAATTGTTATTTTAATTGAATTATTATATAAATTATATACAGGGTGTATCTGAATGACTGCAACAAACTTCAAGGGGTGATTCTTTAGTGAATTTTAAGGGCGACCATGGGCGACTTCGGTTCCCATGCTTTATTTTTCCAATGTATTTATTATCTTCATAAAAAAGATCCAGGCATAAATGGAACGGGGGTGGATAGGTTTAGTAACTTAGAAGTGAATATTGAAAGTACAAATAAGCTGGAAACGTGCCCTATTATGAGTTAAACATATTCCCCAAATTTCATTTTCCTAGTGTTTATGGTTTTTGAGAAAAAAGAATTAAACTCCTTGCAAAAAGTTAAGGCCCCTCACTTTGAGATCGATATCTTCGCAACCGCTCGATAAAAAAAATTACGACAAAGTTTGTTGTAATCACTGAACATTTCTACGTAAATATGTTAATTTAAAAATTTTCAGATCAATGGTTTTCTTTTTATCGCGAGTTAAATGAAAAAAGTACCCGATTTTTTACGGTACCGACAACTTTATCAACTTTGCGAATTTTTTTTCTCGAAAACTATCGTACGAAAAAATTTGAATTTTTAACTGATGTTAGCCTGATGTGTACTTAATAAATAGCATATTTTAATTTTTCGATATTACACTATTACGTCGAGAGGGCTGGGTGGATTTCCTCGCGGATTTGACCAAAATATATCAAATAATGTCGGTTGTCGGATTCCGTTATCAGTTTTTCAAAATTAAAGCTCCCTAATTTTTTAAGAGCGATTTAATGGAATTACAAATTAATGAGTAACAGAAATAAGCTCTGCGGGATGACGGGGGTTCTGTCCAATCGGAACAGACGGTGCGTCCTAGACAGTACGTCGCGCCTTTATCTTACCTACATAAAGAAAGAAGGCGCGACGTCCTGTCTGGGACGCATCATCTGTTCCGATTAGACGGAACCCTCCTCTCCCCGCATAGCTTATTTCTGTTTCAACCGCGTTGAAATCCGCCATGCCATTTTCGAAATAACCGCATCCTACTAAACCGCGAATTTCCGCACTCTACTTCAGATACAGGGTCAATTAAATGTTTGTAAAAAGGATCGCTGTTATTTCATCGTGTACATCAACGTTAAAGAACCTCTATTTGTTGAAGTCATCGAACGCGATGTGAAATTGTGGCGATATGTTATGTTGCCAAAATTGGTATCATTCTATAAAAATTGCATGCTACCAGAAATCGTTCGTCGCAGTATACGCAAATAAGACACTGTAAAAAACTTAATTATTACTAAATGTAGGGTAATAACCGTTCTAAAATCAGTGTTACAATGGCTCGCTGGTTAAACATATATCACTTTATACAGGGTGTGTCAAATGTCTGAAATATAGGCAATAACTTCGCCATTTGCGGTTTTAAAGAAAAATGTTTCAAATAAAAAATTCTTTATTAGTTGTGGCGCATTTTTTGGCAATACTTGCTTGTTTACATTGTTCTTTGTTTTGTTGCTATGGCAACCAACATTGTTATTTTAAATGGGATGCATATGTTTTTTTGCACATTTGAATAGAGCATACATCCCTCTACGCGATGAACATATCAAATCATATGGTTGTATTAGAAAAAAATCGAGAAAAAATGCGTTTTTTAAGAGTCTTAAATCAGCAAATTACAATCAAAGTAGGCGCCGAAATAACGCCGTTGACAGCTTTAAATGTAAAAAAAATTGACAGTTTAAACAAATATGGCGCAATTAAGCGAACGACAAAGAATCCAAAATTAATAATGTATGGGTACGATGCAGGTGATACAAAACGCACTTAAAGTAAAGTTTGTACACTGTTCAATAATACATATTTTCCCGGATATACAAATTACATAATCCACAGTATACAAAATATTAAACAAAAATTTTAACACCGGAATTGTAAAAAAACCTTCCAAAAATTGCTCATAATTGTTGAAACTGTAATTTTTTTGACATTTAAAGCTGTCAACGGCGTTATTTCGGCGCATCGAGATATACTATATTTACTGGAGTGCGTGCTTTGGACTAAAAAACGAGCCGGTCGACTCGACGACTTCCCCCACCCTATAACGGCAAGAAGCTTCAGTTCTGTATGTAACATATAGGTGTTAACGTGTTGTTTAAGTGAATAAAGATTGCATTAAATACATTTTTTTATAAACTTTTTAATATTGTGTTTAAATTAGTGTACTTATTATATAAATCTATAAAGATGGTAAATTCTTGTTCTGCATACGGTGTACAAATAGACAGTCAACAGGAAGTGGTTTACAATTTCATCGGTAAGTTACAATTTTTAGATTCAGGTTTGTGGTAATATTATAATATATGTATAAATGTTCCAGATTTCCATTAAATAAGCCTGGAGTTTTAAAAAAATGGATAAAGGAAGTACGCAGGAAAAATTTTAAGCCAACAAAGTATAGTTTTCTATGTAGTGATCATTTGCTTGCTACGGATTATCAAATACGACCAGGTGCCAGCAAGGGATGGCTAAAAGAAGATGCATTTCCTTCAGTGTTTAAAGGATTTCCAAATCACCTTCAAAAACCTCCTCCATCCAAAAGACGTTTATTGTCTAGAGTAATTGAGAAAGAGAAAAAGGTAAATACCATTTATATTAAAAATATGTTGAAAATTAAAATATGAATTAGTTTTGTTTTAATCTTTATAGGCTGATGATATTGAGAACATGCCAAGTACAAGTACTACACCCGACTTATCTGAGATATCTGAACAGGTAAAACTTTATTATCTATTATCGAAGAGATCACAAAATTATAAAATATTTTTCAGAATGCAATGCAATGTGATGTGGGTATTCAGTGTATTATTCAGTCACCAACTAAGATAAAATTGAGACGAAAAATTAAGATCTTGCAGCAACAAGTAAAACGTCGGGATGTACGAATCAAAAGTTTGAACAAATTACTTCAAGA